CTGACAAATCAAATGTTCACATTGCTACACTTTCAATCTTAATTCTTTTATAGACATTCTGTGCTGTCATTTAGCCTGATGTCATCTGCCTGATGTCATGTGCCTGATCCAAAGCTTCACTGAAGCCACTGGAAAGATGAACAAATTTCCATATTTTAAAGTAGTAAAGTGGTGGAAATTTTTATTAAGTGATTCCAGACCACTAGAGGTGGTCTCAAGCAGTTAAGTTATTACTACCCTACTGGCAGAAGTTAGATTTGGAGATTACATCTTAAAACAGAGACAAAACAGAATGCAGTTTAAGAGTCTCAAGCATTCATGTGACAGTCTTAACTTTTCCTGGCTCTTCATGAGGAGAACAGGCTTGAGAGATGGAGGATTTACTTTACTACCCTATTATATTTCTTGGTGGAGACACTGGGATAACGTCATTTATATTGCAGTACTTGTATTATGCATTTTAATGGATAGCGGATGCTCAAGTGTATTTTATTTCTGTAGGTGCTAAATATGGCAAGTACAGTCCCTTCCCTCATGTCAGCAGTAGGGTGTGAAACCAATCTGCTGGAAATTTAGAAGTTAATCTCCTCTATAAAAATTGATTTGAAAAATTAAATTTTTATAGGAATTCAATCTTTTCCTGAAGTCCTTACCAGCTGACAGCTCCTCCGTTATGTTATTCTGTGCACTGTTCTCTACCTTTCCTGAATATGTCACCATTTGTAATGAATACTTCAAAGCATTATTGCTTTTTCTCTTGGTAAAATGTGTGACTTTTTATGAAATAAGTTTCTAAGTAAAAACTACTTTCAGTATATTTGTTTGATGAAAATTAGTTTATGGACTACACTAACTTTTAATAAGTATCACTATTATAGCTTTTTGGCAGCAACTCATCAGACAATGCCTGTCTAGAGAAGCAATTAAGGATGAGGGACTTAACTGTATGGACAATTAAAAATGGGTACAGCACCTGCTCAAATGTCTCCTTAAACATTGTACTGAAGAAAAATATCACACTTCCAACTAGTAAAATTTTCATCTCACTTTTTGAAGGGCAATTGCCAGCACTGGAAAACATCTCTCAGCACACACTGATTGCAGTATTAAAGGCAAATATTAGGATGTGTGAATAAGGATTGGGTCTCATAATCATACAGAATGGGCCATATCTCCAAATAACAAGCCTTGCTGAGAAAAGCTCTGCAGTTAACAATGAAAAGCTAAAACCAGGTAAGAAGAAACAAGAGTGATACTTAAATTTAATAGCGTTAAAAATGTTCTTGTTCTGCATTTATGCTTTGAGCCTGTCTCTGATTTATTTACACTTACACAGATCAAAAGAAACTCAATTTAAAATTACAGAGAAAAGAAACTAGCACAAACTGTCTAAAGCTCAGTGCCAGCATTCCACTGTAATGAAATACCTGTGATCTTAAAATAGCTGATATGGGTGAGTGTTTTATAATCAGACCAAGATTTCAGTCTATATATTGTTCTCCAGCAAAAACAGATTTCCTATTCATCGGCAGGTTTGTCCAAAAATAGTTTGACTATTACCTTTATATAGCAACTAAACTCGAATAATATAATTCTTTGTTCAGTGCATTGTTGTTCAAGTAGTTTCACTCTACAAGTAACACAAAACTTCCTAAAGGCTTGAAATTAATTTTCCTTATTATTTGCTTTTTATTTCTCTTTGTTGTACAGAACAGTTACTAAGTGGCAATGGACTGATCTCTGTTCTCTCCCAATCCATGCAGGTGCTCATTTGCTACTGAAATGTGTCATATCAGTACTAACAGACTATTACTAGTTATTAAGGTTTCCTATGGAACATCAGACACCTATATTAAGCTTGTAATTGAAAGCTCTGTAAATCTGACTGCTTCACACGGGTCCCTAGACCAATTACATTAGACTCATGAACTACAGTTTGGGGATGATACTGCACTATGTTATTACCAAATATTAAATTGTCTCTAACGTAGAAATCTATGAAGCTAAGACTTAAGTTAATGAAGTAATTTAGAAATTTACTGTCTGTACAGTGAAAATGTGTTTTCCCAGCATTCCCTTTACAGTTTGGGCAATTCTTTCTTCTCAAACCTTTCAGAGAGAATTAGAATTCCAAGCACTAGAAAGAAAGATCTACTTCCTTGATGAAATAAAAACCATCGAGTAGAGTTCTTAACCTCTTTTTAGAAAAGGCTTTGCACTTTTGAACCAAGTATAAAAATCAGTGGAAAAGTCCTATCCATAAAATAGAAATTGATTTGAACTATTTTTTAAATTTACTATTATTATTGTTGTTGTTGTTGTTGTTATTATTATTATGTTAGGAGCTGATAGCTTTCATCCGTTCCCTAAAGAAACCCAAATGGAATAGAAAAGCATATACATAGGTGATACTGATTTGGTTGTTGGTTTGTGGGGTTTTTTTTACATTTATATGTAAAAAATACAGAATAATAATCACTGAAACTAAGTACTTCTGTTTGCAACAATTTGAAAAAGGTACGCTCCAAAAGCATTTTCAATATATGTTACAAGAACAAGGAGTCAAATTCATGTGATGTGTTTGATTTACCGCAGAAAGTATTGAACAGTTTAAAAGGGGCTGAGGACTGGTGACAAACATTGTCCCTTTGTAGCTGATCTTATTTTTTTGAGCCAAAAGAAATAATTTGAGCACATTTCATCGAGCACCTGGATCTAACTCAGCACATTCCACACACGTGAAAAAAGCAAACAGCTGAGTTTGTTCAATTCATGTTTAGAGTGAACTTACAAAAACTTTGTATTTAAGACCAAAGCTGTAAAATTTTGCAGAACATACAGTATTTTGTAGAAGCTCTGTCTCTTAATGGTAGCACAGGCAGCACACTTATTTTGGCACTAATACCAATGTACAGAGCATGGGGCTTGAGGAAAAGATGATGTACAAATGCACTGGTTAGGAGATTTTCTTGCAGTGAATTAGATTTTATCTTTGTAGGCTTATTTTTCAGTTAAGTAAGATGAATATTATCTGTAAAATTTCAAACTGGAACCTAAAAGAATAATTTTATCACTGCTTATAGCTTGAAAGAGCAGGTGCCATTCTACTGATTTTAATGGGGAGGAGGTAGAAATTAACAGAAATAGTGGGAGGCACTAATGTATTAAAATCCTACAGTCAGACTGACCAAACTTGTATGGATGTAGATGTACGCATGCTCTGTCGTGCACGCCATCAATAAGAAACAGAGCTGCTTGGTACATGTGTTTCCTCAAAATACCTTCATAGTGCAAGAGGTTATCTCCAAACAAATAAATCTTCAGTGGCCACTGAATGATATCAATCACAAAACTGATAGGTGAACTGAAAAGCTGAGTGGCTCAGACTCTATGCAGGAGCAGAGGAGCAAAATTATCTACATCTGCAGTTCAGAGATGTCTTTGACTCACCACAACAGTGTTATCAGGACAGTGTGGGCAGAAAAAGCAGAATGCTGAAAGAATCTAGTAAAAGCAAAGTGTCTTGCAGATATTTTAAAGCATAAGTACATTTATGAATCTGCATTTTGAAAAACATAATTTGAGTGATTTCCCTTTCTGTTTGAGGCTGAGAACTTACATAAAACTGTTGGTAAAATGTTTTATCTTGCTTTTTTGGTATCTGCCATCCTCATACTTGTTCCAGAACTTCTTGTTTGCACCCCAGTAGGACCAGTATCTTGGATAAGCTAGAGTGGAGAGAGTGTGTGATGACGATGGAGTAGAAAGAATAGTTAGTGGAAAAAGTGAATGAAAAAATGGTAGTCAGTAGTTTAGGTAAACCATTTTAAAGCCTGTAAATTTTTGTTACAGGCATTTTTAACCCGAAAGGGTTAAGAAGAAAATGGAGCAGATGGAGAGAGGCTCCTGGCTCAGCCTAATATGGCAGCAGACAGCTGCACTGCTTGTTTAAATCCCCTGTGCTGTTCTGTTGCAGTTCAGTACATAATGTTTACTGATACTGCTCCTCTGTGCAACTGTTTCTGCCAGGCTGCCAATAGAGCTGTAGTCTGCTGCAGACTGATTCTGCTTGCCTTTTGCAGTCTCCAAAATTACAGGCTTACCCAGTAACTGCAACTTCCCCAACCCCTTGAAGCCCATATTGTTGTATCCCATGGTACATATAACTGCTGGGGCTTCTGTACTCTCTTGTCCTTGGATGCAGTACTGCTTTTGGCAAAGCTGCAGCTCAGTGCTTCCACTAGCACGGGTAAGAATGTTACCTGCAGCCTTGTCCCTTAAAACAAACAAAATATCACCACCGCTTTCTGCTGGAACTCTTCAGTTAGATTCTGCACCAGCTCTTGCCAGCGTCTCCTGGTTTTCCCCCAGCCTGTCCTGTTTTTCCCCCAGCCTCACTTGACAACATCTTGCAATGTGCTCATGTGTTGGTTGTTGTCAGAGCCGAGGGACAGGCACCAGCCACTGAAGAGAGTCAAGCCCTAGAATCCTCCAGGGGCCCACAAGGTGACATGGCTCTTAGACAGATTCCCCAGCATCCACCCAGGTAAACAGCCACTGTGGAGGAAGGGGTACGCCTGGCTCCACACTGACAGATAAACAGCAAGGTGACATACAAGAGCAGGCAGCAGCTACGTACAGATGGGGTATTCCAGCTGTGAAAAGGTACAGGGAAGCAGTGGAAAGATGCCAGCAGAACTGTTTGGAGTGCAGTTGTGTAGCCTCAGCTCAACCTTGCTGAAGTCTGTCTGGTCCCAAGTAGTGGCCCTGATCAGAGCAGCCACCATTATACCTTTATCTTGCCTAAAAAACCCCACAGAAATGGAAGGGAGCACTGAGTAGGCAATCTAAAGTTTGGCATCTTCACTCAGAAAAATCCCAAAGTAAATTAAGTGAACTGCAGCTTTAGTGTTGTGAAAAGGTGAGTTCTTAACAGGGCTAAAAAAACTTTCATTAAAAAAGCAAAAGAAAAAATGGCATCCAGTTGGTTTGAAGAGCTGCTAAACACACACTTGTAGATAAAAACATGAAAATAAAGTGGTTAAGAGTACAGATTTTGTAATATGAACATTAAAAAATTGGAAAAGTCTCTTAAACTGATTGCTGTAAATTTTCTTCCCTGGCAGGTGACGTTCTAATAAAAATTGGACATGCAAACGTTTTAGGATGGACTCTCCAAGAGCTTAGGCAGCTCCTGCACAATATTCCTATAGGAACTACTCTACAAATCAGAGTTTACAGAGATTTTGTTGAAGTACCTCAACACTGGTAAAGTGCAGTTGAATTAATTCCTGAAGTAAAGCTTCCTGTGATGACATCAAAGTAAGAAATAAGTATTGTTCATAACTAGAATTTCACACGTTGCTTATTATTCTAGCAAGAAACAAGAAATAGCATAATAGCTTTTGCATTTTAGGATAAAATATAAATCTAAAGATTTACATTAATTTATTTTTCTGAAACAAAACTGTGGTTTGAAATGAACAAAATCATAACAAACTTTTCTAGTTACAGTGAACACAAGGTCAGGACAGACATTAATTTTAGACATGTCCCTTCCTGCCTCCACAGTGACCATAAAAAGTCTGGGTGGGGATAATGCCACTGCAATCAAAGAGGCCGTGTCGATTTGCAATAGCCAAGGATCTAGAAGATCACAAGTAGCTGATGATACCAAGATGGAGGTCTTGCTACAACCATATCCGTTTCTTAATCAGTCTAACTACTGACAGTGGTTAACGATTATTACTTTTAAAAAACTTCAGGAAAAAGAAAACCTTCTTGTGAGAGCCACTGAATACAGAAGCTTTTAAAAATATTGCTCTCAATCCTAAAGGTGGCTCACATAGCAAGGATAATTAATCTACACAGGATACAAGGCAGTTACAAGTTTTCCTGAGGCAGAGAGTTTTAATAGAAAAGAAACCTCAAAGGCAGGGGAAGGAACTTAAGTATTAAAGGAGATAATTAGGCCAGAACAGCAGAAAGGAAGCTCACACAACAAGGTGCTTTCCAAGAGATCAAACCTCTAAGCTTATGTTTAAATAAATCAAATTATTTGCTACTCTGAAGGAGCAGAAAAAGGATAGCTTGCTTTTCTGTCGATCGAATTACAACTTAGCTATTACTTTAGAGCCCAAAGGAAACAGCGTGCAAAGGACTATGGACAATAGCATTAGTTTAATATTAGAGGAGCTTCAGAACTAATGAACCTGTCTTTAAAACAAGTATTTGCAAAAAACTTGACTCCATGATTACTTAACTGAATGGCTATGGGAATTATTGCATGTTAAAGTAATACCATGCTGCGTATTTTCAGCACAAGCGAAGATGCTGAGGATGAAGACAGTATCAGGCCCAGTAGCAATGATGATGTACTTGAAAACTTCAGTATAAATCTTCCCAGTCATACTGGTTTGAGTTCACTTGTAAGTTACCATCAACATCCAAAATGTGGCAGGGACCTGATCCAGGCCAAACACTTAGAGTAGGCACAGACACTGGTTGTGATGCTGTACTTCATAACAATGTTGATGCATTGTGCAATCTTAAGTTTGATGCTAGTGGTGTTAGACCTCATTCACACTGGGCTATGGAAAACAATGAGACCAGTTCCTCTTCCTCCTGCCCTTCTGTATCCAATACATCCTATCTGGAAGAATTTACCTTTGTTTCAGAATAGCTCAAAACCTGACATCTTCAAAACCTAGATTTCTGAAGTTGTAGTGTATCTGTTTTCTTTTAATATATGCTTAGACTTCAAAAAAAATCTAAATATCCTAAGATATTTTAAATTATGTATTAGCTATATAAAGCTGTTTTAGCAATGTCCTCCCACCCCTCAGAGATGTCTGTCAATGCTACTTGTGGAGGAGACATTCAGAAACACTACCTCTGCTATGCCCAGACAGGTGGCAGCTGCAAGCTCTAAGAAGGTCCAATATATTTGTCTTTGTTTGAAGGTAAGTTTCTTCATTTACTTCATATAAGGATGGTGCAGACAGTTTATCAAGAACTTTTCCTGACCATACAGGAATACATGGACAATGAGGGGCAACTGCAATATCTGTCTGCACTACAGTGATCATTTTTGATATATTTATTTTTTACACTGACTAAAAGTCCCCTTATTTTCTCACTGTAGTTTTACCTTCAGTGTGCAGGGCCAGACTTACCAGCATTTTAGACACCATTTTCAGTGTAAAAAACTCAACACAAAATGTATGAACTCAGCACTTTATTTCATGAGTGCAAGACCACAATTACTCTAGATTAATTTTCTGAAAGAACTGAATTCATAAATAACAAGTTATTAGTAATTTATTTAGAACATAGGGGACTTAGAGCTTAGGTCCATCTTGAATCCTCATACCAGTTTTGTTTTACAACTCATCAAGAAAAGGAGTATTTCCCAAATCCCCGCTAGCTGCCATTGATTTCTTCCCATTGACAAACTTCTTTGCAGCCTGAAAATAAATCAGAAAGATGAATATAAGGACATATTTGCTACAACAGAGTTTATCTTGCTGCTCATAGCCTCAGCTTCAAGTTATTAAAACAAATCCCAACACTACTACAGTAATCATCAAGTAAACAATTTTCCTTTTGCTGTCTAAACTTACTAGCTTCTATTTCAGCTCCTCGTTACTTTGAACAGGAATGGTAGAATGACAGTTGGATAGAAGAGGCATAGACTCTTTGAAAATGTTTATTCCTAGAATAATTATTACACCACAAGATACAGGGGATCTCTCCTTACTACTAAAGCTATTGCTAGTTGCTACTGCAACACAAATTAGTGGTGACTGTGAAAAACCAAGTTTTCTGTATTAGAATTTCTGATGGATTTCTGTATGAAGTTTGCTCTAGTATAAGCAACAAGACAATCTGGAATAGCAATGCAGTTATGTCAATTTATCATTGAAAGCCTAATGGCTTTATTAAACACACCAAATATTCTAGACTCAGGAATCCTAAAAGCCTTGCCACAGAAGTGCCTGCACTGGAACTAGTATCAAGGTTTCCATGAATACTAGTTGGCAGTTTTGGTATATTTAAGTGAAGCAGATGAGAACTTCACATACTCCCAGCTACACTAGTTTTATAGTGCACTGGATTAAAGGGTCTTCTGTTAATAAAGTAAGTAAAGACATCAAAAGATAGTCAGCTGGACTCTGTAAATGAGTTGCCTTTTTTTTTCTTTTTAAGATAGTCTGTGTGTGTGTTTATAAACACACACAAATGAGCATCAGTTTTGTATAAAAAAACAACCTTACACAGTGATTAAGGAACACCTGTAGATGCTGACACATACTTACATTCACAACATCAGCAGTGACTACAGAGTCGATTTTTTGAGCAACAACAGATGGTGATGAGTGTGTGCCAGAAACCAATGACTCGGAGCCAATCTCATTCAGTAACCCTTCTGCAGTCTCCACTGACATCAAATAGGTGGCTTTCAGCTGATTTCTGCCATCAAACAAAGCATTAAGGATGAGGGAGCACGTAAGTCCTGTTATTACCTTCCCCACTACCCCAGTAAGTGCAATAAGTTTTTGTTGCTTTCTAAATTTTGAAGATTCCTCTCCATTTTGAAAGGTTTTCCTTTTCAAGTACAGAAGCGTTCTATAGTTAGGAAAGAGGCATCACAAATACTTCAAGCATGAAAATGACAGGGTACTTGAACACCTACTGCCTTGGAATGATCAGCCACCCCAAAGAGTCAGATCTCTAGCTAAGAATTTGTTTCTGTTTGAAGTAACTAATGCAGTTACTCCAGGAATTAGACAAATTAATCTATCAAGTTTAAAAATTAGGTTTAACATTGATTCCAGTTTCTCATTAAGAACAGATGTGTGCAAAGCAATTTTGTTGTAAGTGACAAAGAAGCAATGAATGTAAATGGTTAGGCTCCTTGTGCCATTGTTCCATGTCCTGATAAAAGATTAAAGGACAGCAAGTTTATACTGTTTTTTTCTGTTTAACACAGTCTCACTGCTACATATGAAAATCTTATTTTTATAAATTAGTCTTCCTATTCTTTTTTCAAAGTCAAAATGACAGAAAGTGGTTTATTCAAATATCATATAATTAAGTAACTTGGTATTTCTGACTGAATTGCAAGACTCTGCAGATATCACTGACCTTGAATTTGTTTTTGGGGGGCTTTTTTTTTTGGTTGCTAAAGGAAAAAAAGCAATATAGAAAATATATGAACCCATTCCAGAAGGGAAAGTAAAAGGGGGAAAAAAAAAAAAGCCAAAGCACTGTAACTCCTTAATATTAGGCAGCTTTGTTACCCAAAAATCCCAAACAAAAAAACCCCACCACACCAAACCACAAACCAAAAAACAACGCACAAAACTAATAATGCCAAATATAAAGGTCCAGAATTCACCATTTAGCTGCTAGAGACCAAGGCACAACCAGCCACATCTAGGTTTTCATGTTTGGTGTCATCAGGCTTTATGTGGAGTCTTGTAAGTATTTTATACATGCAACAGACAATACTTTAATTTTGCCACTTGAGTGAATCTGTACAATATTGTTGTATTGCACGATCCCAGTTTTAGAGGCTCGGTGCAGTCTGACACTACTTGGGAGATCAAGCACCAGCTAATGCGCACAACCCTCTATAAATTAGAAACTCTAAAGCTTTGTTGTTATTACTGCATCCCTAATAGTAATTTTCCCCCACCTCCAATACTCCCAGGCACAAGTACTTCGAGCACTTGGATGTAACATCATTAATTCAGTGCTTTACACTTGCAGACCCTCATTACTACCGTTCTTTCAAGATGCGTAAGATTGCTTAATATAATTGTTTCGGGAATTGCTGCAGTGCAACTGTAAAGGGAATTACCTAAATAATACAATTTAGGATTCTAATTTAAATACATCTTAATACTGCAGAGTATGATTACAACGACAGCATCTGCTGGTACTTGCTTATTTCTTACACTAAAAGAGTTTTAAGAAAACATTAACACTTATCTAACAAGTTTTTATTAGGAAATACCACTAGCAGAGAATCAGTATGGCTTTGAAAAAAAAATTTAAAAAAAGAGTAGTGACAAGTGCTTCAGTTTTAATGCAGGAAAGTGAGCAGTTCCCCATAGATATAATTACAGGACAAGGATAAGCTTTGCTGTACAGGAACAGTCCAAGTGTTTAACAAGTAGCTACATGTTAAGAAACTTCTCTTTACAACACACAAGACAGTTCTTTACACACTTACTTGGCCTTTGTGACATCGTCATTGGTGATGCTGCCCTGAGCAACTGCCTTTATCTGGTTCAAAGCAGCTTTAATGACCTGAGGAAAATTAAATTATTTAAGACTTCTTCTAGCACTGAATTGCAACACGTTATTTCTAATATCTGACACCTTAAATACTTCAGGGGAGAGTAGCTGGCGGTATTAGGACTGTTAGCCTGAACTCAATGCTGAACAGCTTTAGAATAAAACTAAAACCACTGTAATAAATGCCAAACTGCGACACAAAAACCAGCGTGGATTTAAATTGCAACACCACATTAATTTGCATGGTCTCACCATTTTTCACGAGAGTATTCAGTTCTGCCAGCTTCAAGAGCCAGCATGTTCCCCATGATATACTTAGGGTTACACATGTAAATTGGCATTACAATCAGCAATTCAAGGTATTTCACTGGCTTTAGTTTGTATTAGGTGTTTGTACTTCACAGAAAGCAAGTCTCACTCCCAGCTTACAGAGCTAAATCATAACTGAACATGCAGCATTCTTATATGAGAAAACAGATGAATGGACTTTTTTCAGATGAATCAGTCACTATCTCAAATTAAAACACTAGTTTGAGGATTATGTTGTCAATACTTAAATTCTAATCAGCAACTCACCTCCCCAGCATTTGAAGCCTGGGATATGGTATAAAACCCAAAGAGCCCAGAATCAGAGTAATTAACATTAAATGCGGAAGCCTGCAAAACAAACATTATTATTAACTGTTTCAAGTATCAGAACAACTCAGTATCGAGCATAGGAAAATTACTATTATGATTTAAAATACGTAATTCAGGAAGTTAAACTCCATCTGTGCAGAGGAAAGATCAGACTGGAAGGGCTTCTCTGAAATACTGTAATTTGTGCAACTAATGAAGATTCTTGCTGGAGACAGTAACTTCTCAAAGGACAGTATGCATTTTACTTAAAATACTAGAGTGCAGTAACCCTTTGAACTTACATCAAATGGCTGGCTAGTTGCTTTAGCAATACCCTGGGACAGTTTGCTGGTAACACTGCTTCCCCTCTTGATAAGGGGTCCAGCACCTAAAACATGCTGAAGAACACTGAATGCATCCGCTTCTGCACTCCCAACAGCAGCCCCTTCTGTTACAACAGCAGCATGGACAAGGCTATCACCATTGTGTTCTCTGATTTCTCCTAAAAATACAACAGAATAAAAGGTAACACAGCATTCAGTTAGAAACTGCTGTACGTTTACAGGGATGGAAAGAAAACATTTCTAGCCAGGAGTTTCATGAGAGAGAAGCCAGGGTGTGAAGCTATTGCATGTCCACTCACTAAGACAGCAAGAAGCTGTTCATAGGCTGAAGGTCATACTCTAGATTCCTGATCATCAGTGCCCTTTATACTTACAATCCTCAGAACTTATTCCTAATTCTTATTAAAAATAAATA